AGGGCTTTATAAATCTAGGCCGAAGGAGAATGTGGCTAAAAATACAGACTCTCTTCATAATTTAGAAAAGCAAGGCTAGAGACCAGAACATAATGTTCTTAGAAATGTACCACTGATTGCTAAATAAATGAGGAGAAAAAACGCACTAATAAATAACTAATAAAGCGACGAATAAAGTAATAATTTCAGGCCTGAAGTCTAAACTCATAGCAATAATCGATGTTCCGGTATCCCTTGTAAGCTGAATAAAGAGAACGGCAACTTTAATGGTCGCAGCTTAAGCTTACTTAAGTTTACCCCATTTGCAAGTCGACCAGCATTCTAACCAGCCAGAGATAATTGGTGCATATAAGCATTGCAAAGATCAACGTAAAAGCCGGGCCAGAGGGAAACTAGAGATGAGTTGGTAGGTAATGTAGAAAGGGAATAAATTAAACAGACGCTTTAACATTCGATGAACAGTAGTGCTGTAACGGCTGGGCTATAGAAAAGACTCATGTAGCATTGGAGCAGTGATTTTTATTAAAAATGAGGATCTACAAATCAGCCGGTTCAAACTGCATTCATTAGGAACAATAGAAAAAACACCACTATGTGAAGGAACAAATTTCATCAAATAGGAGGGATATCGTGCACTTTAACGATAACAGCAGAGAACCAGTCTCGCAAGATGTCTACACGGGCTAAGTAGCAAATAGAGTATGTATGTGTGAGTGAGTGAGTGAATGCATAATGAATGAATAGATGTGGAGATATGCGCCATCTTGCTTCTGTGCGTAAGCTTCTGCGCGTAAGCTTCTGCATTGAAATGCATGGGTTCTATAAAAGAGAAATAAGAAGCCCCACGAGCAAGGCGAGCGAAACTGTAGAGGAGATTCATTTGGATAAACACAGCTGAGACATGTCAAAAGAAAAAGAGCAACCCATAAGGTGCTCACACAAAGGGGACCATGAAAAGCCGGGCGAATGGCCGCTAAACATGACCACGGTTTCTGCATTTCTAGTCAAAACCAAAAAGAAGAAAGGCGGCAGTGGCATATAAATAATTAATATAAAGGAAGAAGGGAAAAAGTCAATACAAATAGTAAGTGACACAAATAAGTCAGCTTGTAGTACAATGAGGATATAGATATAGGGTATACGAAATTGATCACATTTCGGTCTGGTAAAAAACAAAGGGATACAATCCAAAGGAAGGATAATTCTCTTAATAGGTGTGTTGTTATGTGCCGAGAGGCACATAAAGTCTCTATACTAGTAAGTAGGCAATATCGGAATAAAAGAGCAGCAACGTTAATTTGAAAAGATATATTCGTAAGGGGACTCTGCATCCCCTAACAATCCATTAGAGATCAGTAATTTAGACTGCGGATTTGATATGAAGTCCGTTAGAAGAGAATATTTCCATTCAAGTCTGGATGGCAAAATAAAAACATAAAGAATAATGCCGAAAAACCAGATGAAATTTTACCTGTATAGAAAAGAAGAATATTTGGTTTTGCAATCTAAAGGCAAAAAATAACTAGTTTAGCATAGGGTTAATAGAGAGGTAAACGCACTCATATAGGATAAGAGTGAAATAGTCCAGGTACAGAGTTCAAGTTAGTGATTTGGCGCTAATGAAGGAGCTTTAGGCTCTCATATTTTGGCATTGGGCTACATATTTAAGATAATTTATGGGCGTTGTGGGAAAGAAGCTTGATACAGAGTGAACAAAAGCCATCGCGAGTCCGAGTCCCAAGGAAAGGGAGTCGAGTTTGCGTTCATGAGATGGAAGAAAAAATTTAAGTAGAACCGAACGTAAAGGAAGAAATAAAAACTGAAAATTCGAGGGGAATAGGACACTACAAATGGGATGATAGAAACTACAACAATAAGGCAGAATACGAGAATAAAGTAAGTCAAGGTTCGAGTCCTTCCAAAATAAATTTCGATGGCTAAGTCGCGTCTAGAAGTCGAAATCCAGCAGGGAAATCAAAGGAAGCTACAAAAGGATAAGAGGAAAACGGATAATGATCGACATTAAAAGAATATTATTGGAGCTCTAGAGCGAGAAAGAAATTCGGCTAAGAAAAGAGGCAACGCCTTTTGCATAGAATATAAGACAAAAAGTAATAAAGCCAAATAAAAACAAGCCATGTGAAAAAACATGATAATAAAGATATGTACTAGAAATAGAGAGGGAATGCGGATTACACAGAAATAGGTGAGGTAGTACAACGTTTAGCGAAATAATACTAGCTGCAATGATAGCGTACGAGATCAGCAGTGATAGCAGCAGATACTACACTAACCGCAGACAGAGAATAAGGAAAAAAACAGAGTAGATTTGTGAGTGAGTATTAAAATGAATATGAGGAAGACGAGAGAAAAGCAAAGAAAAAAGTAATGCCAGATGAAAGCAATGTGTTACAAAATAAAGTCATTTCCCCTATTTTCCCATATACTACTTGTGTACGGGTGCAAGGAGCGTTGTAGAATAGAAAAACAAGTTTGGATAAGAGGCAGACAATGGCAAGTGGTCAGCATGGATGAATATAGAATATGGCGTGGTGATCACGAGTTACCGAAAAGAGCTTGCTAAAATGTCATTTAGGGTTGATTTTTATGCAATAGAGGAAAAGAAGAGCTTCCTAGTTTACTTGACATCACACTTGTATCAGGTTATGGGCCCTTGTAAGAGTAAGGCTATAAGATAAAGCCACCATAGCTAAGGATATGGAAGAAAAGGGTGGGCGCCCGTGATGCTAGGAGTTTGCCCAGGAGTAGGGCGAACAGCAAATGCTAAATAAAAGGATGGATTGGCACAGCAATCAGCAAAGTTTCGTTGGGAATGACAGGCTAGTTCAGTCAAATGGCGAAGCATACAACTTTTAGGAGATCGCAAAAGAAGATAAAAAGAAAATGGAAGCAGTGGATCTTTGACAAAACAGCAGTTATTTGTATGCAGAAAAGGCGAAGGTGAGTGACTAAGAACTAGAGCAGTGGGGAAATGAAAAATCAAATAGCAGAGGAAAAGCTGATTTGGATACTCAGAGAAAAAGAAATTAGACCTTGAGTATTTATTAGGGTTGCGATAGAGAAAAGCTAAGGGAAGAAACAGAACAGTCTAGATGTGATTAGTTATATAATAGATTATTATAACATGATAATCACAAAGTAAGAAGTATATGGTGAAAATGTGAAATATGTGATCTTAAAAGAGTTGAGAACAAAACAAACGATGAGGTATTAAAAAGAGTTAGTCAACAAGGAGGACATGCAAGAACCTGAGGTGTTCATCTCGGTGCAGCTGAGGAATCGACGAGTTCTCTACAGACGCCAAGATTTGAACTCGAAACCACTGAGTTGTCAGTTGCCTCTTCGCCAGCTAGCTGGGAACTTTCCAAGGCTACATCAAGTTGGGTTATGAGACAATAAACGAAAGCAGCCTGTAACTGGAGGCGATCAAGCAATGAATGGGTATCTTCGTCAGTCGGAGCATGCGAAGCGAATAGGTTGGGTGCAATCACAGTAGCTAAGTTGCGCGCATCCATTCTCGATACAGAGGCGTGCTCTGGCAAGGCGAGGAACTGGTTTTAGTTGATATGTGAGAAAAAAAGGAAAAAATGAAAAGAGGGCATACACATCAATATGGAAAAGAAAATCGAATTGATTTGTATAACCGGGAAATACTAAAATAGCTTAAGACAAATAGATAAATTGGAGTAAAACCCGCTTTTCTAACGTAACACATGGGGAAGTACGTGAGATACAACAATTGAGACAATATAGAGGAAACATGGGTTTACAAGAAAAAATATCTGCCTCATTTTGAAGTCAATTAGCAAAACATTTGTAGCGATTTCGGAAAGACATGCGCCATGGTGATTAATTTATGACCTTTCTCATACTGTGCAAATATGAATGCAACTTTAAAGAAAAAAATGAAATTCCTATATTAGGTGAGGAAATGGTGCCATGCTTTCAGATAAACATTTTAACCATCTTTAACAATGGCAATTTTTCAACTTCAGCTTGGCCTGAGGATCGAATAAAAATGAAAACTTTTCCATATGGTATTCAATGAAGTCAAAAAACCTTTGCACATTATGGCTTTCAAACAGTGATAATAGCAATTCAGACAAAATCATGTGATCGCGTGAGGAAATTGAAGGTTAAAGGGGATTAAAAGTGGTTTACTGTTAGAAATGGCAGAGCTCACTAACGATGCCCGGCGCTGGAAATTTTCGTGACCATTATGATACAGAACTCTGGATAAGGTGCACTCATAAAGGACCCGTGAAAACGTAACCAAGTTGCGGAAACTTGGGCAAACAGCTTCTTTTTAGCGATAAGAATGGAGAGTGAGACCAACTTATCCCGATTTTACATCAGCGATTAAATGGGATTAAGACTATATAGTAGAAAACAACGAGGTATCTTAAGGGATTTAGTAATTTTGCCCTAAATCAGCTTATATTTGCATTCTAAATTTGAGACCTTAATAATTATGCATTTAGGTTATCCGGACACCACTCGGTTTTGTGATCAAAATGAAATACAAATTTTAGACATTGTAGGACTATGTTTTTGAGACTACAAGTAAATCAAATATATGAGATGTGTTAACCCTATTTCATTCAAGGTGATGAAGGACTGGTAGTAGAATTTTCTCACAATGATATGAGTAAGGCTGACGTTTCCATTGAATTTCGCAAAGCCATGCTTTCCCAAAAGTTGTGTTCTTAGGGATCGCCATGATGCTAATAAGTCAAAAATTAACTGGGGAAACGAAAAGGACTTTTCATATTTCAGCCGGATTGTCAGCGTCATAGGAAATATCATTGAAATCCTATTCGTCCGTATAAAAATACTGTATAAGGAAA